AGCAGCAGCGAGGAGTAGAGGAAATGTGGGGAGATGATGGGGGGCAGGAGCAGCGAGAACGGGGAGCACGCAGCGCGTCGGCATGGGCGCGAGGGCTTGATGCGCGGCGCGCGAACGTCGGCACCACGAGCCGAGCGCTAATCGTTGGCCCGAAAGCCAGACAACCAACGCGATTGATCACAACAGGAAAGAAGCATCACAAAACCAGCAAATAACAGCAATGACATGAATATTGACCAGCGCCGCTGGGCGCCGAAGCACGCAGTGGCCGCGAAGGTCCACGCGTCGCGCCGCATCAGACGTAGCGCGCCGCGCCTGCTTCGGAGGGCGCGCCGCGGCGCGGCCCCCGGCCCGGGGGCGCGCGGGCTCGCGGGCGACGGCCGCCGCCGCAGAGGGCCGCCCGTCGCCTTGAACACTGAATGCCGCAATTTGCCGCTTGAGCGCCGTCTGCCTCGCGACGTTCGGCGCCCCTTCCTTTGCGTGCACCTGCGCGGCGGACAATCCCGCCGACGCCCCCCAGTCGCGCGCCGCGCCCTGGAATCGAGGGCCGCGGGCGCCGAGGGCGCGAATGAGGGCGAGGGGCAGCGCGAGCAAAGGTCGGCAGATGGGGCGACGACGCTGTCGCCGACAGAGCGCTGCGTTACTCCGAAGTCGCCGCGGAGTTTTTCGCCCGGGCCCACGGGGATCCCGACCAGACACAGATTGGCAGTTCTGAACAGCTGGACCAGCTGTGCGCCGAATGCGCCGAATGCGCTTGCGGGGTGCGGGGGCAGGCCGAGAGCCGCGGCTGCCTCCGCCCTCGCCGCAGCATAGACTGCGCTCCAGGAGCCGAGCACCACCCGCCGGCAGCGCTGCGCCCGAAGCCGGCCCGGCCCGGGCTGGAGCTGCCAGAGCGGGCCCCGCCGACGACGAGCGAGGTGGCGTTGGCGGCGGCCAGGGCGGCGCCGCGCGCGGGGCGCGCGCGCTCAACCCCATCGCGGCGGCGTTCGGCTTCCACTGCGCGTCGCGGACGGGGAAGCTCCCAGGCGGTTCGGGGGCGAGACGTCGCGACCGGCGGGGGCGGAACAAGCGCCGTCATGCAGTTCCACGTCGCCGGGGGCGGCCAGAGGTTAAACCAGCATGCGATGGCCAGCGTCGACGGCGCGGAATGGGCCCGCTGTCTTTCAGAAGTCCTCGCTGGGCTGTGGCTTTGGCGGGGCGGTCCCTTGGTGGCTCAGACCCTTCAGGGGCCTTCCGCGGCCTCTCCTATGGATCCCTGCGGGTCCTGGAAGTGTTCTCGTTTGGCTTGAAGCCGTCTCAGGCGGGGTGGATCCACCCATCGCTATCGCGCGATGGGAGATGCCACCAGCACTGCCTTACGACGGCGTTGGGCTAACTGTCAAGACCGCGCACGCCATGTAATCGCAAGCTCAAGCGCTGGAAGCCATCCAGGACCCCAAGGCCAATGCAGTCAAAGCGTCTAGTGACGGTGAGCAAAGCCCGCGATGGACGGAATGCGCTTATACTTTTGGCCATCATGGTAGGATCTCTGGTATGGGTGACGGTTGTGCTACTCGCTGTCATTGGAGGGCCTCCAGTACGAATGAGTGGCGAGTCAGCGCACAGCGCGCGCGCCCACGCGCGGACGCTTCTAAATGTGATCGCGCGGGTCG